AGGCGCCTGCGTTGCCCAAAAACGGGAATGCGGAGCAAAAATAAACCGCTGAGGGGGTAATTTTTCTCCGGAAAAGGATTTCGCGCGGTCGGGGTATTCCTTTGGGGTGTTTGGTATAGAATCCTCCTCACTGGAGAGCCTTTCCGCCCCCCAAGGTCTCGAGAACGAGGCGGAGGGAAAGGGAAATACCGCGCCGGAGAGCCCGTGGAAGTCGAGCGTGAAGTTGGGGGAAAGCCTCCACTCCGCCCAGCCCTCCACCGCGAGCTTTCCAAAAAGCGAAATCACATTTCGCTCCGAATAACTATTTACATTATTCATAATGCCATCATGATTAAAATTAATAGGTTGATGATGATTCCTTTCCCTGCTCAGCTCCACGCCCGGCCCGGCAGAGACCCCCAAGCGATAGGCGGCCCTTTCCCCCCAACTTTGCACGGCGCTGTCGTAGTTCAGCCGCGAAACGAATCGCCAAATCCCCCCGTTTTCCCCCTCCACCAGACGCGCGCCCTCGCCATCGAAGAAAAATCGCGGATTAGGCCGATGCCAGGTGAAGAAAACGCCATCCGAGCGAAGATCCAGCGTCTCGATTGGGTTTCCCCCGCCAACCCGCCGTCGCGCGCGGCGGGGGTGATTCCAATACGGCGCCACCTCGAGAACGGGGGGGTGGAACCCCGCGAAGCCGCCCCGCCCGGGGGAATCCCCCGCCAACGCGGCGCCGGCAAAAGGCGATTTTCGCGCGAAAAAGACATGAACCCGCGCGCGATCCCACCCGCCGCGAAAAAAAGACGACCCCGGGCGGGAACGGGGGGCGATGGCGCCATCCTTCGGAGTGCGAGCCGCGGTAAACCCGCTTTCGCCCCCGCGAGGGCCCAAAAAGGCCACGGTCCCGCGCAGAAAATAAGGGGCTTCTACCGGTATATTCATCGCGTTCGATAACCCCCCCAACGGCGAGCGATAAATATTCGCAGAAGAAGTGTGTTGAGGAGATTGGGTATTTGCTTCTTGCGAAAATATCAAAAAGCGAAACTGATCGGCCAACGTCGGTGCGGTAAAATATCCTCCAAAGAAAGGCAGAGAGCTTGCCGAGTTCCCTTCTTTAGGATTAGGTTGGTTGCTTTTGTCAAAGTTGTGGTGGATGAGTTTCTTTTCATTATCTAATGACAACGACGATGGATTGAACGGGGAAAGGGACGAGGAAGGCGTTGGGGACGATTCGACCATTTGGTCGTGAGCGACTTTCGCGAAGATATGTCGGCTCCACTCCTCTGCCTCTGCCCTTTTAGCCGCGCTTAACGCGCAATCCCCGGAGGATAACTCTGGTTTGCGATCCAACAGCATTATCCGCAGTGAATCGCTCGAAAAATCGTTAGTTTCTTGACTTTGCAAATCGGGTTTTTTGTCTTCCTCAAAAAGAACGGTGGTGGTGGTGTTCATTTCGCGATTTGGCGGCTCGTTCGTGAAGGTTGTACGCAAAGGGAGAAAAGGATTAAACGGGAAAGCAAAGCGATCCCAGCGTAAGGAACTACACGCGCGCACGTCATTTTCGAAATTCTCGCGAAACCGTCGTGTGGGATAATCTTTTGGATATTTAAACGCTGAATATTTGGCTTTTAACCAGCCCAAGCAGGCATCATTCTCGTGAAACCGCTCCGATTGAGAGGAAATTTTGATCGCTAGGTGAGCGAAAGATTCATTTTCATTGTGCATTATCCCACCCAAACCTAGAGGGGAAAAAAATCAAATGAAATAAAAAAAAGAATAACATGAACTGCGTCATTTCACTATATTGCCATATTATCAGATTACCATAAAAGAGAATGATAGCACTACGCCATGAAACTCCAAGAACAACCAAAGGAAAATGAATACTATCAGGTGCGCTAATTTCTCTCTCTTCCAGAAAGATATGAATCTAACCCAACTTTTCGCTTTTGTTTCGATATTTCACTATTGTGTAAAAAAAAGAAGGTAAAGATTTTATTTCCAAAACAATGCCTAAATATTAACACCCACACACTGGAAAATATAGTTCTCCCCCACTACATATTTTCTTCATCCGTGAGCCTCAATAGATACCGCAGTGGCTTTTGCATTCGACATTACACCTTCTCCCACTTCCTTATCCTTTTTTTCGAATTGTTTGAATTTCACCGCCTCTACGTCCTCCATCCCTAAGTTTTTCGCCTTCGTTAAAATAAAACTCCATACCTTTTCGGAACGGCGAACCTTCTTCAACGGTGTTCGTCGGACGAGCTGAGCAAGCTGTAAAAGCCCTTCCCGCGTAAGCAAAAGCTCTGGCGATACTTTTCGAATTTCCAGAGTATGCTCTGCTGCGATTACCTCCTCACCTTCTCCGCTGAACTTCGCGAGCAGACTTCGCGTAAGAAACCGACCAGTGGAGATCTTCAACGATTTGGGGAAGGCCTGCTCGAAGATGTCGAGGGCGACCAAAATATCCATCGCCGAGGATTTTGCCAGAAGCTCGCGAAAATCGACCTGCAAAGGCCCCGGGAGCGGGCGGTAACCACCGTAGGTGTTGCTCTCATTTACTGCGCAGATGCCGCGGATGACCTCGCGGACGTCGATATCGATCGCGCTCTCGTAGAGCTCCTCCCCTGCAATTATCGTCAGATTCCCCTGTGAGCCTGAAGAAAGGGACGAAGACGCGGCCTCGCCTGTTTGTTGGCTGATCTGGCGCCGCTTATCGACCATCCGCGCGATGCTGCCGGAGGGATCGGGGTGGAGCTGCGCCGTGCAGAGCTCCGCGAAGGCGTCGACGGCGGGGAGTGGGGCGAGGCCGAAGTTCATCATCACCGTCATCCGCCGCGCGAAGCTCTCCATCAGCCCCTCCAGCGGGGCCAACGCCGCGAGTTCGAGGTCGGTCCGGCGCCCGAGCACATAGACCGCCATCGCCACATCGCACATCTCCTTCGGGCGGAGGAACACCCCCCCTTTTCCCTTTTCTTCATGTTTTTCTTTCTCCTCTTCATTTTCATCTTCACGATTGCTTTCATTCTCCTCAGGTGGGGAGAGGCCATCCCGGCAGAGCCGCGCGAGCTCGTCGAAGTTCTCCGGCACTGCGCCGTCAGTGACGGAGAGGAGGCTAAGCAGTGCGATGAGGTCGGCCGGCCGCGGCCCGCCTCCCTTCTTTCCCGTGCGCGAAAGGAGAGCCACAACGCCCTCGACGAGGACGGCATCCCCAGCGCGGAAGCGTCGGGCCGCGTGGAGAAGCCGGGAGAAGCTGGGCGGGGGCAGCCCCGTCAGCGCGGGCACCACTAACGGACGGAGCAGCGGGCGGAGGTAGGGTTGATGGGGGGCGCCGAGCTGCGCGAGGATGGCAAGCCAGCGCGTGAAGCACGCGGGGGTAAGCCCGCTCAGGAGCGTCAAACGCGCCCGCGCCGAGAGAGGAGAAGGAGCGGCAGCAGAGGTCGCTTTTATAGTCTTAGAGGAAGTCGCTGTTGCAGCCCTAGGAGGGGTTGCTGTTACACCTTCAGGAGGAGTCACTGTTACACCTTCAAGAGGGGTTGCTGTTACACCTTCAGGAGGAGTCACTGTTACACCTTCAGGAGGGGTTGCTGTTACACCTTCAGGAGGAGTCGCTGTTGCAACCCCAGGGGCTTTAAAGGCAGGAGAAAGCCCCCCCCCGCCAACTGCAAGACGCTCCGCCGCGAGGTTTTGCTCCATCCGCGCGAACATGACATCGGCGAGAAAGCGGTAGACAGTGATCTGGTCGTGGCCCATCCGCGCGAAGTTCACCATCGCGCGATAGCACATCAACGGCTCTAGCGGGTTTTTCTTGTGCAAAACCGGAAGCCGCCGTGCGAGGAGGGCAAGAAAACTCTTCGGTGGTATAATTTTCGCGCGACTGAGGGCGGAAAGCACGCGGACGAGGTCCGACGGGTTCTTGTAGGTGTTAATGAAGAACACCAGGAACGACCCGAGGGCTGTGAAGAACTCCAAATCACGCTTCCGCCGACCCGCGTCGAAGCCCATTACAATGATGCACCTAATTACCTGCTCGGCGCTCATCTCTGTGAGCGCGTCGGCCAAAATTGGATCCTCCGTGCGCAAACGATCCGCGTCCTCCTTCTCAAAGGTGTATAATAATACCGCGGCGCCCTCACCGTCCGTCGGGGGCGCAGAATCTTCAGTTTTTTCCGCGGAAGTAGTGGACGCCGCGAGGTGCTGTTGTCGGGCCGCCGCCGAGGTGATCTGCGCGATTCGATCGCGAATCAAATCCTTCAACGCGAGGCCGTACCGCAGTAATGTCGAGCGCGCATAAGGCACCTGGACGATCTCCAACAATTCCCCCACGTGAAGCTCTTTTAATCGCTCGATGAGGACAGGAAAGATGAAGTGCTCCTCATCGGCGGAAACGAGCTGAGGGTTTTCACACGCATTGAGGTAGTGCAGGACGATGTCAATGAGGGCCGTGCGCGGGAGGGCCCGTAGATCTATCTGTCCCTCCTTCTTTTCAAAGTTGTGGTGTGTGTTTTCTTTGTTTTGGGCGTCTTGGGTTAGGTTTTTCTTTCCGTGGGTGGTTTCGAGAGGGGCGACAGCGCCATCATCGAGTTCATCCATTTCGTCACTTTCATTTTCAGGAAAAGAATCCCCCGTTTCACAGACCCATTCATCGGAGGGGAGCCCCGCATCGTCCACCACCGCTGTCGGCGATGAAGAAGTGAAATTAGGTTTTGCAATCACGTTCGTTTCGTTAAATAGTTTATCGTTTTCAGGATAATCCGCTCCATCCTTTCGGAAGATTCCACAGTTGGAGAAAAAACTCCCCTTCATAAGGCGAATTGCCGTTGTTGAGGTTGAAAACGATATCACAGAGGCTCGCAGGGGGATCATAGGGATCATCTTTATCGTTGAGGTTCGTAGCTGCTGACGAATGAGGAACCACATTATTTTTTAAAGGGGGAGGAAATGGAATATACGCTTAGCGTTGGATTCAGTTTCTTAATGAACACTGAAAAGATCCTCACTTTCTATTCCTTTTGGTCGTTGAGATTGTAAATGCATAAAAAAAGGTTCTCGGAGAGGTATTTGAGAAATATTGAAGAATTAATCTACATGAACGAACAATTCAGATTTAGTAATAAGAAAGCTTAAAATATACACCATTCATTATGGATAGTCTTGTTCTCTCCCTTTTCGTTATAGGTACTCGTTCGTGAATCCATTTTCCACTTCATCTAGTAAATGATGCAGAATAAACAAACTAATAACAAGAACAAACATAGCAAATCCGAATGTTGGAAGGAAAGTATTTGTGAATTTAAGCAGAATAATGAAAATAAAGGACAAAACTTAAAAAGAAAAGTGAATCAAGTAAATCTATGACTCTGAGTAAAAAAAGAATTAGATAAAAGGGTTGAATATTGACTATAAATTTCAAAAGGTAAAAAACAAACTAACTTTTCTGAGGCTACACAAGACTTCTTTTCTATAATATCATCTTGCTGTCGAAAATTGCCCATTAAATATTAACTTATTTCCATAAAGTTAATATCTGTCTTTACAGTGCCTGACTGCATACTATGATTCTGGAAATATAGAAAAGGAGGATAAAATGAAAAAAATCTGACATTTTTTTTCATTTAGCTTTCTTTTATCTCTTGAGTTTATTTTATCTGTTTTTCTCACAATCCACAG